TTAATGACAGAATTTGAGGTGGTAGAGCAGGCTGTTGGAGCAAGAGGTCATGTACCTACCAGGTGCTGAATCAGCTCTAGAAGAGTACAAAAGTTAACAAAGAAAGAATATCCTTGCTTTTTTAAGAGCCAGACACTTACCACAGGACATCTTTCAGCCAAAATCCCAAGTAAAGATCTGAAATATGGATCAGTCCAGCCAAATTCCAGGGGGAAAAAAATCTACTTAATCAGTTGACCGCCTCTAGCCTTCTTTCTGGAGGTAACTCCTCCTGATTCTTACTGTCGGACTAAAACCCCAGCACATCTCTTTTCTAGTGTGGTCAGGAGGACAATGGCTCCATCCATGTAAATCTATCCAGACAGCACAGACAGTTAGACAGATCTGGGGTGGAATTAACTCCTTCACTTCTGATCTCTGGATAGAAGTCTGCACATTTGGTCCCAGGTGGTCAGAACATGTTTCAGTGCTATAGGTCAGAGAAAATCATGTTTGGTAGCTGAGTATGGATGACATACATGAAAAGTTCTTTAAAACAATTCCATATATGAAAATTAATTTCTTATGGGAATGTGTGTTGTGACTGCCACTCTCTTAGGTTTTGCTATACTGTATTGATGGAATAAAAGATCTCAATAATGCATGATTTAGCTGATAAAAAATATGATCTTAACTATCCGACAAAGGAAATAATGAGCTCCTACTTATTTGATGAGAAAAAAAAATACTTTCCAAGTCTAGGAACTGCCTGCAATAAATCAAAATATGATATCACTATTGCTATGCTTAAATGAAGTGCAGGCATTTTGCAATGAAATTAATTTGCTTTTTAAAGACTGCTGAATTAAAGTGGAAATGTGAATAACTTTCTGTTGTACTTTTCCCCTACTTTTTCAGCTGAACCAGTTGATGTGCTAAAAGCATTAGAATTTCACAATTCACCAGAAGGAGTATTGAGAACAGCAGGATTTTGCACAAATAGAAAGGATTCAAAAGGATCAGATGTCGCTTACAGAGTTTCAAAAAATGCACAACTCAGTGCGCCAACAAAGCAACTGTACCCAGGTGAGTTTATCGCTTGAGTTCCCTAATGTATTTTCTTATTGTCTGTGTTCTTCTGCTGGCTAAAGGACAAAATACAGCCCTTACCCATTTTCATTAATTACTGTAGCACCATAAGTTTCCTCTCCCTCCAACTCAAGCACAAAAGCAGGCAGCAGATAGTAAAAAAAATTATATATTAAATGTCCTGGACCTAGATCTCTTCTCATGCTGGTTTCATATCCCTATGACTTCACCAACTGCAGTGGAGTTACTGCTGTTTTATTCTGGTATTCAGACATTAATGGGAGCAACATGTATATTGTTTTCAGACCAAACCCTGACATAATTTTACCTGGTTTTCTCATAGTTCTATCAAAGAGAATCTGAAAACATTTGGTGGTAGATCCAAAATATAGAGGGCATTGGAAAGTTTCTTACTGCAGTCCCAGGACTGGTCCATTTAAAACGATACTTCTTGGAGTGATGTTGGCATGGTAGAAATGCAGATTGTGGTTAGATGTTGCAAAACCATTCCCAGAAATACCATCTGTTTGGCATTACTTTAGAGTGTCTGGGCATTCTGGGGACTGTGCATGGTTAGTTGTGGGTAGCAGGTAATGTGATTCCATCCTGTCTGATTTTCTCTGAAATGAAATAAGCACACTTTGGGAAAAGATTCTTTGTAAGATAAAAAAAGTGACTTTCATGCTTCCATTTTCCTGACACACTTTTTCACATGATTGAACAGGTTTAGTTAACACTAATAAAAATCTATGTACCCCACTCCCCAATCCAAAGCTCTCAACTTTTCATGTCTTGACATGCTGAGTAACTTTGCTTGTGACTACACAGATTAGACACAGGCAAAGAAAAAATACTCACCATTTGCCTGTTAAGGTAGCAAACACATAGTCAACATCTGAACATTTATAAAAAAAAGACAAGCATTTGTTATTGTAAAGCAGGGGTGCTCAACCTCCAGCTCATGGGCCAGATCTGGTCCATGGAGATCCCCATGGGTTGTAAAAAAATTGGCAGCTGGGGAATGGGGAAGGTCTGTGTGTCAGCATCCAGCCTTGTCCATACGGTTGCCAACTATGAACTCTGTTTCATCACATGACATAATGCCATAGCATAGACTTTGTCCGGAAGGCAAATGCACATTACTATTACTTGTAAAAAATGACTGGACTATTGTATAGATTGGATTAAACATTTAATTTATTTTAATGAATTCCCTATCATTTATCTCCTGTGTGACTCTCAGCAGTCTCTAGGAGATTTATATCTAAGTCCTGTAAACTTCAGGGCAATCCTACAGGGCTGGCAACCCTGCTTGCCTGGACCATTGCTGCACAGTGGCATCAGGGCTGGGCTGCTCCCTGCCTGCTTCACACATCTAGATAGAGCTACTCCACCTTACTCACCCAACCCTGGGCTGCTCTCCACCACCCTCTAGCATGTCTGGATTAGGACCATTCCATCCCACTGCCCCCAATCCTCAACGGTCCAAATCAGGGTTGCTCTGTCCCACCTTGCCCTGCATGTCCAGATCAGAGCTGGGCTGCCGCCCCACCCTCTCCCGTCACATCAGGATTGGGGTTTCTCTACCCCATGCATCTGGGTTGGGACTGGGCTGCTCCCTATCCCTGCCACCCAGAAGATGCATCAGGGTTGGGCCACCTAGCAGATGGATCTGATATTCCCCATCCAGCCTTCAGGGCAAAAAGTTTGGGCACCACTATTTTTAAGTGATACTGTGCTCTGAGTAACAGGCTGATTTCTAAATAGGAACCCCCTAATAAGCCATTCATGCTTATATTGAATTTTTCACTTAAAGTAAATCACTCAAATTCTACTAAATTTCTTTCTTTTGCTATATTCTCCTAGCTAAAATGAATAGTTACACTGAAGTCAATGGAGCTGTGTCCAGCAGCCAATATAACCCACTGAGGGTATGGACAAACATACTTTAAAAGGGGAGGGGGAACTGCTACTCAGAACAGTGCAGAAGCTGTTATTTTGTAACTGTGACAGTTGCATGATCATGTAGCAGTGCAAATTAGCTAACTTGTGCTAACTTTTGGCACTGAATGAAACAAAAATTGCACCTACAGAGGTGACTGATGCGTCACAGCAGCTTACATGGGTGTCTTTTGATGTCTACAGTTGCCATGTCTGTGTACACCCTGAGTATCATACCCTGCAAATAGTCTTATTGAAAGCAGTAGGTCTAAACATAAATTGAAAAAAAAATCCATTATTATATTGAAAACACTGAACAATATAACTGATACAGCCACCATATTAATCAATGCCTTCTTTGTGTTGGTATTACAATGTCTTTCATAGATACAGAGTAGGAACTACAGGTACAGCAGAACTGCCATTCATCCTATTCATATAGTTGGATATTGGATTGTTGGCCTATAAATACTCTTTGCCCAGAACAAGCACCTTCTGCCAAAGCAGCCTGAAAGTCCAGACATTCCCTTAGGGAAGAAGTTCCTGTGTTAACTTGCAGTTATTTATGAATGACACTGCAAAATAACTAGGGGATTTGGCAACTAAAGTGGTAACTCCTCATTTTGGTCTTGAATGTCAGAGCAAATATGTTTATCATGTTACTTTTTGACACCTAAACTTTAAGTTGCCTTTGGCAGCTTTTATGTATATGTTTTACTTTTTAACATCTGTATGTTAAAAAGCTTCTGAATTAGAACAGAGCTGGATTCAGCTATTGAATTTCCCATTTCAGGTATGCAAGAGAAAAATGTCCGTAGAAAAAAACCCCCATGACATTTTATATAGAAAAAATGTCATGAGGCCCATTTTTTTTAAAGGGCCTGGGAAGAAAGTTAATTTAAATCTTCAAGGGTCAGTGAGCCTTCTTATTCTGGAAGATTCGGGAGGTATCCAATAGATATAGAATCCCCTCCGTCCCACAAAAAAGGAGAAGAAAAAAATCCCTCTTTGGCTTTTAAAGGAACTGTAGGCCTGATACTAAATGTATCAAGGCATCTAACTCCCATTTTCCATAACAGAAAAAAGTTTAAAGAAGATATTCCAAAAGGACTGAGACATGACTAGGCCACTAGGATACAGTTTAGCGAATCAGGACAACATACCGCAGTATTGCTTCTATTCACTTTGACAACACTTTCACAAGTAATCAGGAAGCTAGAGCACTTTTATTTACTTTGGTTCCAAGAATGGCAATGAAGCTAAAATGTTTAAGATTACTGGAAAAGATCACTAGTGATCACTGAATGTTGTGGCAGAAGTGAAGTGACTTTTTCCAGTTTACCCACCTGTAAAGCTCAGTAAAATATTAACTTATTTCCTAAGTATGTTCAAGCGTGCTTAACTAATTAATCAATGTTTGGAGAGATTCAAGTTCATTGTCTACAGGCCCTCATACAAACTTGGAGTTTCATTTACGTAAGTACTTCTATTCCTGTCATACCTCCTTGTGACAACCTACTAGCTGTCTTTTCTGACATTTGCAAAGAATGACAACCCATTGGTTGTCATTTGCCTAATGACTTTTGCTTAATGACAATGATTTGCCTAATGACTTCACTGTAAAAATTGTTGAACTCAGCAAGTCTATTTTTAATGTGCTTAAATAAAATAGGTTATAGGAAGAAATATAAAAATATTTTATACTTAATTTCAGTTTTTAGCTAGAAAATGCTTAATTTGCATTTTCAAGTTTTATAGATTGTAAGGCTGGAAAGGACCTTGGAAGATCATCAGGTCCAGCCCTGCCTGCACTAGGCAGGAAATACAGCTGGGGGTCAGATGACCCCAGCAAGATGACCATCCAGTCTTCTCTTGAAGATTTCCAGGGTAGGTGATTGCACCACCTCTGGAGGGAGCTTATTCCATAGTCTGGACACCCTAACTGTGAAGAAGTTTTTCCTAATGTTGAACCAGAAATGGTCTTTCAGGTATTTGTGGCCATTACTCCTGTTTTTCCCCAAGGGTGCATTGGTGAACAGTTGTTCACTGACCTATTGATGTATTTCCCTGATGTAACAGTAAGCTGCTGCCAAGTCCTGTCTCAGCCTTCTCTTTTTTTTTCAGGTTCGTCCTTCAGCCTTTCCTCTTATGACTTGCTGTGCAAGTCTCTGATCATACGGGTGGCTCTTCTCTGGACTCTCTCAAGCTTTTTCATGTCCTTGTTAAAGTGTGGTGCCCAGAACTGGACGCAGTATTCCAGCTCTGGTCTCATCAATGCTGAGTAAAGTGGAAAAATCACTTCCTTGATTTTGCTGGAGATGCATTGATTGATGCATGCCAGAGTATTATTTTTCTCTGCTGGCTACAGCATCACACTGCCATCTCATATTCATACTATGGTCTATTATTACCCCTAGGCGCCTTTCATTCATGGTGCTAGTCAATTTGGCACCGCAAAACCTGTAGGCGTGTAGGGGATTGTTCATCCCCAGGTGGAGCACTTTACATTTCTCAATGCTGAATTTTCTCTGATTCCAATCCACCCAACTTGATGTCATCTACGTGTCATCTGCCCAACTTGGTGTCATCCGCCCAACTTGGTGTCATCTAAGAACTTGGCCAGTGAGTGAGCTCTTCATCCCCACATCCAGATCATTGATAAAGATGTTGAAAAGCAGTGAACCAAGCAGAACCCCTGAGGAATACCACTGGCCACTTCCCACCAGGATGATGCAAATCTGTTCATTAGAACTCTCTGGGTCCTACCCCGCAGCCAGCTTCCTACCCACCTATCTGACACACAGTTAAGCCTGCAATCCTCCAATTTTCTCATGAGGACATCATGGGATACCAGATAAAAGGCCTTTTTGTAGTTAAGGTGTACAATGTCAACCTCCTCTCTCTTATCCAGGTGGTGAGTTACCTGGCCATAGAAGAAAATGAGGTTGGTAAGACAAGACCTGCCCATGACGAAGCCATGCTGGCTGTCATTCAGGATCCTACCTTCTGCAAGCTTATCGCACTTAGACTCCTTAATGATTTTTTTCCAGGATTTT